AAGTAGGAACCACCTTTGGTGGGAAGGTAACAGCGTTCTGTGCACCTTTGGCATTGAGTCATGCCGGCCACATGACAACGGAGATGTCTTCGGACAGCGCTGGCTCTTTGGCTTTGAAACAGAAATGAGCACCACCCCCTAGAGTCAGGAACGACTAGCACATATGTGCGAGGGGAATCTTTGTCTTTACCTTTTACAACTGCATATTTTTATGTATTTTTATGGGGGTATTCAAACACCTGTGAACATTCGTGACCTATCCAGAATGCAGTTAGGGAGACAATTAAAAGAAACATTCTCTTTAGCCTTCCCTTGTCCCAGGTTAAGATTACAGTTACGGATACTGTGATTTCCTTGGTGCTCTCTGAGCATGATGGTTTTCTTGCATACATTTCATTACCAAACTCAGCTAGCCCTGATGATGTTACCTAGCTGGGTAATAAAACGTCTGAAAGAAAGCCACCAAGTTCAGAGAGCACCTGGGACCCCACAGTTCAACCTTGAGCTTTGAATGTTCTTGTGTCGCCGTTATAGAGACATCCAGGTGTGGGTTTCGGCAGCCACTACTGCTGGTTCAGTTGCGGGCATGCTGCGTGCATGCTTAATGCACACTATGCACGCATGCACAGTACAATAAAAAATTTCTGCACATGCGCAGAACCAAAAAACAAGATGGCAATGCCGATGGCGCCAACCGGAGAACAGGTTCGTGGGCATGGTAGACATGGGTCACTGGCGGTTCCAGCGACCCAGGCCACCAAACCACTACCGGTTTGGCCGAACTGGGCCAAACCAGTAGGAAACCACCACTGGATACATCTCACGCTTTTTCTAAGATAGCAGAATTCCTCCCACAATGAAAGGAAAGCTTGTTCCAGAAATGTTCCCCCGAAATGATCCATTTTAAGGAAGCATCATTCCCCAGGCAAAGACAAAAAATTCTAAAATTCTCTATTTTATCCTAAAATGGAAAGTTCAGAAATCCTTTTTTCCCGATTACTAGCTGATGGGTTGGAAGCAACATCTCGTTGTGCAGTGCTTTTAGCACCTGGTCCCCGCTGGTTCAAGAAATAATTAGGGAAAGGAAACTGTCTTGGTTAAGGACATTCTAAGCAAGATTCTTTCAGAAACTGGCTTGGTTTGGTTCAGATTTTTTTTTATGACCAGGAGACTGGATCAGTCCTGGGATTCCATGAACATCCTCATTTTCCTCAAAGGATTCTTTGACTGCTTTGTCGTCATTATCGTACATTGATTTCATCAATAATCAACCTTCTTTGATGGCTTTCACAGAGTTCTGTCTCTCGATACAGGGAGTCTGCGGTCAGAGACTTACCTTCAGAGGTGACCAGGGGGCAAGAAGCATACAGCAGGTGAGAAGCGATGCTTGGTTTGGTCCTTTGACATGGCAAAGGCATCGCCTTGTCCTTAAGGGTAGAATGGCTACCTCGTTGTTGGAAGAAACGTCCATCTGGTTCAGTTCCAAATCAGGAGAAAGGCCCCGGAGACAAAATGGAGGCTGGAGGCTGATTGGAAAGAGGGTGCTGTCAGGTTTCCAAAAAAATGCCCTAATTGATTCATTGAGTCACGAGCCAAATTTCAAAAGAAAACCAGTCATTTATTGGAAGATTTATTTTGGCAAGGCCTTTTCGCAGTCAGATCTTAGCCTTATTTGAATTGTAGCTGAACTTTATCCCTGTTCCTTCCCTCCTCTCAATCTGTGTCATAAATCACATTCTCCAATGAGGTGCACCCTTTCCAAGTCTGCTGCGGTAATCTGAGATCCGACTCTAGCTGAAAGTATGCCTAGAATGTGCTCCCCCCCCTTTCCTCACCATGGCAACTTTAGGAGTTACAACGGTCATAAATATGAGGCAGCCGCCAAGCATCTGAATTTTGACCAGGGGGCCTTCGGGATTCTGCGGCGGTCGTGTGAAAAATGGTCACAAGCCACTTTTTTTCCCCAGTGCCGTTGTAACTTCATATGGTTGTAAGTTGAGGACTGCCTGCAATTATTTCTTTTGTTGATAATGTCAGGCTGTATTCCTCATCTTGTAGGTGGCTCTTGAGTAACAGAGAGACAACGTGGCTTTATTTTTTGTTTTATTCACAGGGAAGCCTTAACCTTACATACTGCGGATCTTGAAGGTCAAGAATCGGCTTTCCCTTTTACATCCAGTGGTGAGCTTCCCCTTGGACATTAAACGAGGGAAC